ACAATAAAGTGAACTGCCACCAATGAAGGTGAGTACAACTACACTTCAATCTATAGTCGGCTGGAAACCCACAATAAAGTAAACTTCCACCAATGAATGTGAGTACAACCACACTTCATATGAACCACGTACCCCAAGAACTGCAAGTGTGGGACCATAATAAACCATATGCACATTGTAAGCTTGAGAGGTTCTCATTTATTTGGTAGCTTTATCATGACACTAAAGGCACAACCCAGTTTCTCGGCGAAAATGGATTAAACCCCTAAGACAAGCTGTACACTAAGACTCCGACCCCCTTAGGCTCAGCTGTCCCCGACCCCACCTCTCTTCATGGGCTGTCAAACCACTGTGAGTTCTAGATGATCTCTATTACTTCCAGTTATATAACAAACTAACTTGTTCCTCTCATCTTTCTTGTTCATCAATCATATCATGGTGAATTCAAACGCGTAAACTCCAATCAAAAACCTAAAACGAAATCAACAACTAATCAAAACCCAAAACACCAACAAGCTCAAGAGATTGATCAGGGTCACAATGAAGGTGTAAGGAGTGATAGAGAATAAGCACAAGGTAGATAAGATTATATCATCTCACAAGATAATCATATTTTTAGTTGGTCTTGATCCTTTTTTAGCTACTTCTCCTGAAAATGTATTAACCATTGTTCTGGAACCATTCGATTAGATTTCATCCAGAATGGTAGCTCAGCTATCAAACCTACTCTAGAAGATTGGATCGAGATGTCTCATATCCATCATACCTTACTCAACAATCATTCAAACAAAATGGAACAAACCGAAACAGATTCTTTGTCTCATCCTGTCGAATAGCCAATCAAGGAAGATGTGATAGCCCCATTGATAGAGAACGCAGGCTCAGATGAAAAGATAGCAAAGAAAGAAGATAGTCAATGAAAGGTAGATGAAGGACCGGCATTGGATCATTTATTCGATAATGACATCAATATGAAGAATGCTCCATTGGATTCAAAAACGTGATTGAAAATCCTGTCTTGTCTCCCACAATGTAGGAATCAATGAATCACTTTTTTGAATCTCGAATTGGCCTACCCATATTGAATCTCCTCGTGTTTGAGTCTCAAATAGCTGATTCAAATCGATCTCAGACTCAAGACAGATTTTTCTCGATCTTTGAAATCAAACTCAAGTTAACATGTCTCTGCAACATCACAACCCACACAAACTCAAATATTATCCATCGATCTTGTGAAAAGGATAATCCAGCTTGAGAAAAATCACACCAAAAAGCTCGAACGAACACGATTAGGAAGAGATTGAAATACAATCAAGCTGAACCAAAGAGAGGCAGATGTATCATACAAGTTAAGGACAAACTTGGTTCGCCCAAAACCGGATAAAACTGCCAATTGGTACTTCGAAGTTGATGGTTTACGCTCCCAGCAAATAAAATCCGAGGTTTATGGAGACATTCCATCATACACGAGTCATTTCAATTTCAAGTAGACCAAAGCAATAGACTCAACAACCAGAAGCTCCAAACTCAATCACATCTCTTACTGCATCAAATTTGCTGAACAATCAATCATAATGTCTTTAAAAACAAGAAATGCGAATTGAAAACCTTCCTATTGAACAAAATATGGAGATGTACTTGAAATACTTCCAACATCAGAAGAAGAATGTCAACACGAAAATTAAAATGAAAGGTATAGAAGAAGAATGGGGACTTGAAAATTAAAAAGGGAAGTATTTGAATCTGAGATATTAGTCAACAGGACCTTGTGCAATTTTGTTTTAATCAATCGAATCTCATGGAATCGATCAGGACTACAATAACTTTATGTCAACATTTATTCATCATAATTATGTCAGATACTTCCAAAACTTTTCATCCAAGAAATTTTGGGATATGAGATTTCTTCTTCAAGATCCAAAACATTTGGTATCATTGAATTAAGTTACAAAATCTGGTGATCAATCAAGGTGCTTATCCCTTCAAGGAGGCCTTCGGTTTGTGATTTACAAACATATGGATATTATGTAGCTTTTTCTGAACTCGATTTTAATCAAAACCGTTGTTATAAGATTATTTGGAGCCACCAAATCTATCAAAGAGATGCCCCAAAACATTAATCTTATTTGATTGATTATCAAAATGAACCTTGCAATGACCTTCACTTATCTCAAATCAAATTACACAAGCACCGGTTTTCCTCAATCAAAATGAATCTTTGCAGTCAATCAATCTTAAGCTTGGTACCTGAGCAAAGCCATTTATTTACTCCATCACAACTAATCTCTCTACTTGATCATAATACAATTTTCAATCGATCAGAACCAGGCTTTTTGTTCAAATACTCTTTACTCGATAAAAATCATGTTACTGGCTGATTCAAAACCGGTGTTTCCACTCGATCCCAATCAATCTTTTGACTGGAGCAACGTAAAGGTTATCACTTGATGCGACTCTTTTATTTAGTCCAGGAAAAATGTTCTGTCAACTTGATCAAAATCAAAATTTCACTCAATCAAAACTGTCTTATTCACTCAATCAAATTGACTCTTGACTTGATCAAATCTATCTGATTCAATCACTCAAAATATATCTCCGTAGTCAATAAAACTCCATCTGTCCACTCAATTCAAATTAAAAAATTTACTCGATCAAAACCCATCTATTTACAAAGTCACAATGATCATGTTTATTTGATCCAAAGTGTTATGTTACTTAATTGACTTGAAGAGCATCTGAATAATTCACAAGAGGACAATGGTGATCAATGTCTCACAACACTGCAGACATTATTCGGGTTCCCCAAGTGGGCAGGGAAAAATGATTGGGAGTATGATTTGTCATAAAATGGTCTATCACTCCACACCTGAGCCATAACACCCACACTACATATGTGTAGCAGGCTCAGTGAATATGTGGTTATCATGTACATACAGTTCTGCTCAGTTATCTGCTCATCAGGACAAGTTATTCATATGTAATACATGCTGTAACTTCTTTCAGATTGAAAAAAGCTTCCAAAAGATTGACTACATACACTGACTCAATGTTTTGGTGTGATCTCATCAACTCAACTGCATGTAACACACTTTCTGTTACTAAGACATAGCTTCAACAATATTGCCTGAGCAGCTACAGAATTATATGTAGTGAATTTTTGGGAAAAAAATTTCAAAGTCAAAAAAGTTACATGTGGTATAACATGTGATTTATTTATTCTGATGGGCAAAAAACTGAGCAGACCTGTATGTACATGATAGACAACTATTGACTTAGCTTGCTGCACATATGTAGTGTGGGTGAAATGGCCCAGGTGTGCAGTATTAGATTCTTTTATGAAAAACTGTACTATTAATCATTTTCCTCTGCCAAATTGGGGAAGTTGAATGATGTTTACAGTGACAATAGTCAGGATGGATTTCAGCACTAAAAAGCAGTAGGCATGTTGTACTGTCTTCATGTATGGGTTTGAAAGTTGCTAATTACAATGCTCATTTCATATTCAACTTTTACAAGGAATTTTTTCAGTTAATTGGAACATGTAAGATGGGACTTCTCATCAATTTCATATATTTTAGATCCATCCACTGGCTCTGAGTGAACTCTTGCTATGATTTATACCTCAATTGATGAACCCGAGTTACTGAGCAATATCTTTAAATCAACAAAAAACTAATGTTTTGAATGATGATGAGAAGATCTAAATGTGACCATAGATTGTATGGACATTGATGTAAGGGTTACTTAACTCAGAATTCAAATCTATCAACAAATAAAAACAGAACTTATATACTTGAGCATTAGCCTACCTTGACCAAGTTAAAATCCCAACAGCCAACTCACAGCAACTATCAAATCTGTCACCTGCACATTCATTGCTTTCATTGAGGTGTAAAGCATTGTTCAGTGAACCAATCAGTCCATTTTCAATTGAATACCAAGGCAAAAGAATAAAGTTGTAAGAGTTTAAGAAGTGTCATGAAGATAGCAATCATGCTGTATCAGAAACAAATACAACAATATATTAAGGGAAACAAGGAGAATGAGAAGGCTTACAACAATACAGGCGTTTTGAAATGAGGATCAGATTATTTCAGCTTCATCACAAAATATGCTTTCCGCTGGGGTGCTCACAAATTTAATGAACATGAACCATTGAAAACCTGTAATCCTCAGTGCATCAATTAGAAAATTTTGAAAATGGAAAAGCATCCGAATCTGGCAAATGGAAGTTTCAATTTATGGTGCACTTTATGTGAAATTGCCAAACGCATTGATATTGTGAAAAATGAGGTCAAGTATCTGAATATGAAAAAGTGAGGTGATGTTGCAGTGGTACATTGAGGTCTGAGGTTATCTGAGAAACATACGAGTATTTTTGTTTCATTGATGGCTTGATCAGATGTATTCTTTTCACCTTAAGTCAGGTTTCATTGAACCGAAACAGTGATCAACAGTTTCACAATCACAAAGTTGTCAACAGTTTCACAATTACAAAGTTGTCAACATGACTTGTTTGCCATTTTCAAGTGATGTTGATTTTGAAAATTCTTTGTATGCATTCAATTGGATAGGTTCCCTATTTCACAACATCATTTATATGTGTGTGCCAATAACTGAAACTTGTTAGAGTGATGACTTGCATATCTACCAAGTTTAGAAACAAGTATGCCCAAGAGTGCGTTCACTCAAGCAATTTATTCCAGAAATTTAAAAATGCAAAAATGGACCATGCTCCAGTACATCAAACTTTGCAGAATGCAATTTCTGGTCAGAAATTTCTTAAGTGTTGGTTTGGTGGAGTTTGGTTCATTTTTCAACTTTGAAACTTACAGTGTGCTTAGGCTGTTTTTGCTCAAGATTCCATTGGAATGTGCATTCTGTGAATTGTAAATTTCAACAATGAGCCATGCTTCATCAAACCAATACTTTAGATTTTCCAGAATGCAAATTCTCATCAGAATTTTATTACGTAAAAGCACCCTTAGCAATTATGTGTGTGCTTGAAATTAGAGATATATTGGATTTGCTTGGGGTCAACCTGCCACCAATTTTGCCAGTACATCATCTATTAGGTATTCACTTTATAACACCCATGATTCCTTCAAATCTCTTGACTTTGTTATCTTTTGATAATAAACATCACAAAAAACCATTAAGTGAAAAATGGCAGAAAAATTTGAGATCAAAGAAGAAGAAACTTTAAATCCAACAACAACAAAAACATCATATTGATTTTTATTAGGAAACCACTAGCCCGCAACAAAAAACCCAACACCCCCTTTTTTTGGGGTAATACCCGCAAATACCTGCACTGGACCAAGCCATTTTGGCGTAGCACAGGCCCCGGAGGGAAGTGCACCAGGCAGCTTTTGCGGGCAATGTATCCTGCAATCACAAAACCGGGCAGTGTTGCAGTGATTAACTGCCATTCCACCAGCTGATGTGTAACAAAGTTGGGCACTTCTATCTCAATATGCCCATCCATCAAGCTAACCCGTCACAAACAAACAAACAAACAAACAAACCAAATAAGGATGAAAATTAGAGAGACTGAATTAAAAGATGAAAAGTGCGCAAGATATCAGAAAAACGTGAACATGTTGAATGGTCAGATTCTGTTTGAAAGAAAATTCTATAAGGATGAAAAGAAGCAGGTATTGAGCTCTTGAGTTGATGATTTTATAAACCTGTTTGGTATCCTGGAAAAAGACACAAAGAGAAATATTGGTAATGGCAAGTAACGGGTTCTTGGGAAGTGTGAAAAGGAATGAAGCGCTTACCTCCTTGAGGTCCTCATCCAAAAGTAAACCAAGGACACCACCCACCGCACCAGTAGCAGCTCCCACCACACCACTAACAGTGTGCCCAAGATCTTGCACCACACCACTAACAGTGTGCCCGGGATCTTGCACCACACCACTAACAGTGTTAAAGACACTTCCTGCTACATTGTTCACACCGGTCAAAAGTTTGGTGTAGCTGTGATAGGTTGTGAGACAATTGTCAATGGCAACACAGTTGTCAAAGGATTGAAGGCTGGGATAAAAGTTACAAGTGCATTTAGGAAGGACACAAAGAACAATGAGAATGAGATGAGACCTTGAACAAGAATGGTTCAATAGTTTCTTTACAAATGTTTACCGCTAAGATCAAAACGGGCAGCAACATGCTTAACGCCCAGGCGGTAATTGGCATGGGGGTGTTGGGTTTTTTGGATCCGGGGGGTAAATGGTGGTTTCCTTTTATTATACAAAGTAATGATTGAGTTCACTTTGGAAAACAAAGCCTCTCCAGCAAAATTTTGATATCTATGGTTTAACCAAAAACTGCTGTATTGAAATCTATCTTAAGCATCTTAAGGGTGCATTCACTCAAGCAAATTCTGATGAGAATTCACATTCTACAAAATATTGTTTTGATAATGATCACCAAATAGGAGGCAAACAAATCAAAATGTGTCACATCCAGAGAATTGGTCTTACAATTCGAGATGATCAAAATTATAGGATTGATCTCCAACACAATGGTTTTCTCAAACTTCCAGATATGTTTATTTGCTCAAGACTGCAAGTTAGGGACCTTGCAAAAGATATTCAATATCTGGAACCACTCTCATAGACCCAATCCAACACAATCATCAGGAGCTCAGCACCTACATGAACACTATTTGCTCAAATGCTTTGGGTGAATTTTCTGATGACAGAGGGTTAGGGGGTAAATAATGAGCTCTCAACTTCAAGCCTGAATTGATAAAAGGCTTTAAATCTCATGAAGTTCAACAATATGTTGCAAATTATTTCACAAGCATTGATCACATGTGCCATATCTTTTTTTCCTACAGATCAAATATCCTTCATGTCAACTTTGACAGAATTTCAAGCCAAACTTTCCTCAATCAATTACTCACTGAATTAAAGCATCTATTTCAATGATTGAGACAGTTTGAAGCCATTGACCCTGAAAATTCTTTTCAATTTCCAGTGTTCAATAAGCCACAATCTGGTCTGTGTTGCACTTCCAAAAAAAGTGAAGAAGCATGTGTTCCAAGCTTGCAAAGTTCAGATGTTTGTTTTCAGACTATTCATATGAAGTTCACAAAGTCCAAAAATGAGTATAATCATGCTCATTAGTGTGCTACTCCTTTTGGAAATGTAAAACCTCAAATGGTGGTATGCTTTGCTCTGAATTGGCATCCATTCTTGCCTTCATTGGGTAGCTTGGATCACATTGGAAATGTTGAGAAGCTACAGTGTTCTCAGAGTTTGAAATGGCGGCGCCCGCTGCCCAATTGGCTAGTTTTCATTCTATTCCACATGTAGTGGAATAGAATGAAATGGCTATTTCACATAGCATTTTGGGATGAGAATGTGTTTATACACCTCCTGTGTGAACCAAGTTATCATATTGGATCAAATGCAAGCTTGAAGTGTGCTGGTGAATTGGGGATTACCATGGAGTGCATAGTGCTCTGGATGTAAAAGTCATAGGAATTCCCAGGATGAACGGGGGATAGTATTTCAGGATAGGTGCGTGTGAGAGTTTTGCTATGACCAAGTGAGACACCAGGGACCATATTGTATCATATGAGAGCCTGAGTCTTGGTTATCAATTTGGCACCTTTACTTTCAGTATATTCCCCATGTTGTGGAAGTTATAGCAAATTTGATTCTCTTTGGTAAAGTAGTAGTATGTGGAAAGCCAGGGTGTCATACTGACTTTTGTGAATGGGAGTAGGGTATCATGTAGAGCATTTCTGAAAGACCAAACCTTACTGATCAAACTGATCAGTACACCATGGTATTTGGACATGATTTGTAATAGTCATAAGCAAAGATGGTTATTTTCTACACTGCAAGTCATGAGCGTATATCAGAAAAGACCACACGTTGGAGGAGATTGTTGTGGGTGGAAATATATTACATGCAATAACAATTCTGAATGCCCAAAACTTACTGATCAAATTGATACCATCACCATGTGTTTTGGACATGATTTGTAAAAGTCATAAGCAAAGATGGTTATTGTCTACACTGCAAGTCATGAGCGTATATCAGAAATGACCACATGTTGGAGGAGTTTCTTGTGGGTGGAAATATATTACATGCAATAACATTTCTGAATGCCCTAAACTTACTGATCAAATTGATACCATCACCATGTCATTTGGACATGTTTTGTAAAAAACATAAGCAAAGATGGTTATTGTCTACACTGCAAGTCATGAGCTTATATCAGAAATGACCACACTTTGGAGGAGATTCTGGTGGGTGGAAATAACGTGGAAGCAATAAAATTTCTGAATGCCCAATACTCACTGATCAAATTGATACCATCACCATGTGATTTGGACATGATTTGTAAAAGTCATAAGCAAAGATGGTTATTCCGTACACTGCAAGTGATGAGCGTATATCAGAAATGACCACACATTGGAGGAGATTCTTGTGGGTGGAAAGCACGTGGAAGCTATAACATTTTGGAATGCCCAAACCTTACTGATCAAACTGATATCATCACCATGGTACAGTGAGATTCCTTTATAAGCATTCACTATACTAGCATAATTTTATTTAAGCATCAAAAGTAGTGCGACCATTTTTGGTGGGCGGTAAAATCAGATTTATAAGCATTTTAAACATATGCTTGAGGTTTTGGTTGATATGCTTGTAAAATTCCATGTTTAGCATGGGAATACAAGCATGACATACATCACGGAAGTGGTTATGCTTCAATGTGATGCAAGCAAGGAAGCCCAACCAGCTCAAATCAGACTGGATTGGGTTGAAAAGCAAGATTGACAACCTGCAGCACCTCGTGTCATGTCCATTTGCAGGTGTCCATCTTGCTTTGGTACAGACTGCTTCCTCACATGTTCAAAAAATGAGTTGTCATTTTGCCATTGGGACATCCCTCTGATCATTGACCTCAATTCTCCTCAATTTCTGCACAAGCTCAGAAGCTCAACTCAATCTTTTACATACACTTCACAAACTGTTTTCCATCACAATTATGCCGGCTTCAACACTTGATCAGGTCATTGCACGTGTTCTTTCTCTTAGCCAGACCTCACCTCTTGGCTTAGCCAAGCGTGAAGGCCCAATCTTCACTAGATTTAGCTGTGTTCCAACTGTTTCTGATCCAGATATGGGGATGTGGGGTGTAGTGAACCACGATATGGACGTCGCTTATGCTAAGGATGTCCCTGAGGCCGTTTTCAAGGAGCACTTGAAGGGTGGGAAGTATGGACTGGAATGTGTTTTGAGCTATATTGGTAAAGCTCGTAAGCACAAAACTTGGAATACCGCTCATGATGACCTTCTGGCAACCAAACTTGAAAAGATCGCTGATGGTTTAATAAGTAAGTCCATGTTTTTCTGTTTATCAACATGATAGTTTTTAGATTCTAAGATGCAAATAATGTTTTTTGTTCTTGAGAAGCAGGTGCTACCAAAACCTCAGTTGCACCTCGCCTCCTATCTGGATACGAAAAAGTTGCTGAAGGAAAGAAGGCAGTTGCAAAACAAGACCGCGAAGCAGAACGTCGATCTAAATCTAGCAACGACAACGGAAAGGTTCATTCAAAAGAGAAACAGAATGTAAAATCGCGTAGCTCTGGATTATCTCCACCACACAAAAAGACTCGATCAAGTGTTTCAGTCAAATCCAAAGGTCAAAAGAAAGCTACTAAGCCAAAGCGACTCAATCATTCACTCGATCAGAAAGAAGAAGTCATTCGCTGGCATCTTAAGAACAACACACCCCAAGCAGAGACTGCTGCTCACTTTGGGCTTGATCAAGGCTGTGTCAGCCGGTGGCTCAGATCAAAGACAAAAATTCATGTCACCTCTACACTTGGAAACGGTTCAGTCAAGCGCATTCAGTCCAGTAAACACCCTGCACTTGAACAAGCTCTATTTCATTGGATCCTTGAAGCTCACGCCCACAAACTGGTCATCACTGCCGAAGTCCTCCGAACTAAAGCTGCTCACTTTGGCGAGATTCTTGGGATCAAAGCTAAATACTCAAACGTTTGGATCAGCAAGTTCAAGAAAAGATACAACATCTTTAACTTTCAGATGCACGGTGAAGCAGGGGCCGCTGATCCAACTGATGTTGAAACTGCAAGAAAGAAGATGATCGAGCTTACAAAGGGATTTGAACCCTCAAACATTTACAACGCTGATGAGACGGGCCTCTTGTGGTGGTATGTACTATTCTCTTCATTTGTCTCTATCCTTTTCTTGTATTTACGCATTCTGTGTGTGTTGTCTTTCAGCATGCCACCCAATCGAACACTAGCAACGGTCTCAACTGCTGGACTAAAAGGCTCAAAGAAACGTCTCTCATATCTATTTTGCTGCAATGCAGATGGCTCAGATAAACTTGAACCCCTCGTGATTGCTTATGCCCGGCGACCTCGTTGCTTTGGTCGACAAGACGCTTCGTACTGGTTTTTTGATTATCACTTCAACTCAAAGGCTTGGATGACAGCATTGATCTTTGGTGATTGGTTGCTACGCTTCAATGATCGGATGGCCAATGAGGGACGCCAGATTCTCCTCCTCCTTGACAACTTTAGCGGACATACACTAGCAGCCCAGACTGTAAAACTAAGTCATATCAAATGTGTCTTCTTCCCACCCAACATGACCAGTCATCTCCAGCCCTGTGATGCTGGTATCATTTGAGCCTTCAAGGCTATCTACTGACGCAAACTTGTTGCTGAAGCCATCCGAAGATACGAGGACAACCCTGACATGCCGGCAAAAGATGTTTTTGCAATTAATCAACTTGAGGCCATGTTCATGGCTCGCAAAGCTTGGAACTTGATCACACAAGACACGATTACGAATTGTAACAAGCACACTGGTGTTATTGCTGCTTATCAAGGCAAAAATATAGACTCCAATGAAGACGAAATTCCACTTCTTGCCCCGGATGCAGGCCCTGACCAAGCAGTTTTAGCACTCGAAGATCAACTGAATCTCCTCGACTCTTGCCCCAGACTTGAAGAAAGTAGTCGCTCCAACCGAATTAGTATTGAAGCGCTTTTGAATCCTGAAATTGAGGCTCGGCCTACCAAAGCTGAAGTTCCAATGCCTACTGACCTTGAGATCCTCGGTACCACTGCTGCTGGCCATGAAATCTTGCCAATTGAAGAGGAGGCTGCCAAAGATGCTGATGAGCCTCGTCAACCGTTAACCATCTCACAGGCTAAATCTGCCATCGATGAGCTCAAATACTTCCTATTTTAAATTTCACGCCCAGCCCAGTACTTCAATCCTGAGATTAGTCAATCTGAGGCCGATCACATACGAGCTTTGAACAAGCTTCTTGATGATCTCACCCTCAGACAGAACCAAAATCTAACTCAACCAAAGATCACGAAGTTCTTCTCCATCAAGAACACAGCTAAAATACATCATGTAACACATCCGGTTCAACCAGGTGTACCCAATGCACAATCCTCGTCAAAATCACTTCCACCGACCAACTTATCTGAATCGATTCCTGCCTCCTCTGAACCGTTCTACTCCTCCTCTGAATCATCATCATCACATGAGAGTGATAATGGTGATACCAATGATTCAAATGAGGAACTGTGAGTTACATGTCTCCTTTCACTCTTATGATATCTTGCTTGTTCTGACTGTTTTGTAATTTGCTCTATCTCATTTTGATAACTATCGGCTCTCAAAGCGACTCCTTTTGAACATCTCAATCTCAAAAAATGAATGATTCATGCCCATCTCCTCCAAAATCATCTGTAAAGGGGTTCACATTTTCTTGATCACTCCCATCTGTAGCTCAATTTTTTGCCATAAGACACTTCTGAATTGACCATGTCTCTACACATGATATAACGAAGAAAACAATGAGTTTTGAAATGAAATTTTTTCACCTACCGGCCCAAAAAAGCCATTTTTGGTGCTAAGCATGATACTTAAGCATAGCATATCTCTGCGTAGCTTTTATGCTCTTATGAGCTCCGATTCGATAAGAAGCAGATTTCATATTAGCATAGGATTTGGTGCGACCATCACCATGCTTATAAAGGGAACTCACTGTATCATGATAAGCTTAGTAAAAGATGATTCAACATGGGCATTTATGTTATGCACTCATAACTTGCTGTGTACAAAATAACCTTCTTTGCTTATGAATTTCACTAATCATATCCAAATAACATGGTGATGGTTTCAGTTTGATCAGTAAGGTTTGGCCTTTCAGAAATGCTCTACATAATACCCTACTCCCATTCACAAAAGTCAGTATGACACCCTGGCTTTCCACATACTACTACTTTACCAAAGAGAATCAAATTTGCTATAACTTCCACAACATGGGGAATATACTGAAAGTAAAGGTGCCAAATTGATAACCAAGACTCAGGCTCTCATATGATACAATATGGTCCCTGGTGTCTCACTTGGTCATAGCAAAACTCTCACACGCACCTATCCTGAAATACTATCCCCCGTTCATCCTGGGAATTCCTATAACTTTTACATCCAGAGCACTATGCACTCCATGGTAATCCCCAATTCATCAGCACACTTCAAGCTTGCATTTGATCCAATATGATAACTTGGTTCACATAGAAGGTGTATAAACACATTCTCATCCCAAAATGCTATGTGAAATAGCCATTTCATTCTATTCCACTACATGTGGAATAGAATGAAAATAAAGCTACCAAATAAATGAGAACCTCTCAAGCTTACAATGTGCAGATGGTTCATTATGGTCCCACACTTGCAGTTCTTGGGGTACGTGGTTCATATGAAGTGTGGTTGTACTCAAATTCATTGGTGGAAGTTCAGGCGTGTAATGCATGTGACACCTTCAATAGTACACTCGTCAGATGCAATGTCTTGCATGTGACACCTTCAATAGTACACTCGTCAGATGCAATGTCTTGCATGTGACAGATTCAAAGGCACACTTGCTCTGGCTGAACCTCACGAACTTTTCCTCACAATGCCTCAATTCGAAGGGAAACACCAGCCCTTCAAAGCATCCAAACCGTATTGGCTCAAGCCCCCAAAGTCAGCAGCTCAAAGAAAGCATTTCGAACGGATGGCTGCTGCGGTCAAAGCACGTACCCCAGGTTACGTAGTCATAGCCAATCCTATAGCTACCCCTCTGATGATCGAGGATCCAATGATGCTCGAACTCAATGCTGAAGAAGATCACCAACGCCCCAAGACTCCTGATTTCATTGAAGATATTAGACGAGCCCGTATTGAACACGAACGAAAGGAGAGGGCTATCGCATTGCAACGTGCAACCCAGGAGATGTTCTACGCTTACCTAGAATGTCACATGTCTACTGCCGAATGGGGTGATCCAACCCAATGGGACCTGGATCACAAGGCAGCGTGTGATTGCCCTCCCAGCACATGGCGGTGTAGAAATGTCGATATGGTGGACATTTTATGTAAGCAGCGAAGTCTTCCTTATAGAATCACATAGAATTGCGGGACCGTGGCTTACATCACATCTCATTATACCAAATACAAATATTGGCAAGGCAGATCGACGCAAGGTTGAGGTTCGATTTTGTGGATGTCAAGCTAACGACAACACTTGACTAATCTACATGGGCTATATTGGAGGGTCTCCTAAATATCCCGAAACTGCCTTTTCTCTACGGCTCCTAAGATTCTTCCATATCATTTGGAAGTACTGTACCAGCCGGGTTGAACCATGGACTCGGGCACTGGACGAATTTTTGGATGCTTTCAATCCACTAATCCTCATGAAAAATGAACAAGTAAGAGATCAATTTGAAAAGAAGGGATTATTCTGATACACTGTTACCTCCTTGCAGCCTCGCCGATGGCACACTCCATTCCGATGGGCCATCGATGCCTATTGCAAGATGCTATCAGCCACCGAGACCGCCATCGACATGGAAATGAGCCTCTCACCCCAAGATAAACTCGCCGAAAACTGCCCTCGTTGCTTTGGTCCGCCTGTGGCCAGTGCAATTGACGGGGAGCCTGACATCGTTGTGTGTCTTGATGGTAACTTCCAACACAGACGACATCTTGTAGCAGGTCAAAAAGCTGGACGGATCGAGACCATCATGCCTGAAAGCTTTATACCGCCGGAAAAGGTAACTCAAATGGAAGCGCGCATTGCAGGTACCGCTGAAGAAGAAGTTGTAAGTTGTATCCCAATGTTCCAACCAATCCAAAGCGCTGACCAGATGAATTGCAGGAACCATGTGCTGCCCAACACACGGCGGCGAATGATCGTCGAGGCAAAGGGCATTGGGCTGGATGCGACGAGACGGGGCTTATGGTTTTGGTGTGTCGTCATGACCACCCTTTGCGATTTACCAACATTGTTCAGAGCGGTGAAAAGTAAGTCATTATCTTTGCCAATTTCTAACTCTGATCAACTAGCCCCAAGTACCAAACTGATTTAGATTTCAATTGTCAAGGCTACACTACAGTTATTCCTTAATAGACTGGTTCCTTGGAATGACGGACCAACAGAAGATAGGTTTCCTCTATGATATAGGATGTCAAATGGAAAAGGGGATTGAAACGGTTAGTCTCTCAAGACACTATGAGATTGCATTATAACTCTGACGTGGGGTGTTTTTCTCGACATCTTTGTCCAATGTCTTTCTGTATCCTCTCTCAGCGCGAAATGTTCAACGAAGAGCGACATTTAGGTCGACTGAAGTTCGGGACTAGCGTTTTTCACGCTTACGTGCATCGATGGTCGTGTCAGCTTAAATGGAATCCCAGGCTCAACCGTGGATGGGGACTTTTGGACGGCGAGGGCTCCGAACGTGTATGGTCAGACTTGGATCCGCTGGTTAGTTCGGAAAGATATTTGACTAGCCAGCATCGAGTGGATTCTATTCACATGCGCTCCACCCACCATCGAACCAACCTTCGACATACTGCTGGTAAGTGGCATGGTGACATCGCTTTGAATTGGCATTAGGTAACGAAAGACTGACATTTCACTACCTTGTATTGATAGTTGTACATCTCAGTCGAAAGAGGACTGAAGCCACCCAACGGCTGAATGAGGCCGAAGAAGCCCTCCGTACTCTGAGGATCTCCGATCCCACCCTTACTGCTGCTTATTTCGAGAATAAGTGGGCTGAGCAAAAAGCACGGCAGCTGGATGTAATCACCGAGACCCAGAAACAGAAGAGGGAAAGGGTCTCTGTTTTGCTGGGATTAGAAGAGGAGCTAATTGAATCACTGTGAGCATTCCAAATGATACGGCGTGGAAGTTGAGGATCAACGTCCCACTCATTATCTACCATTTCCAGCAAACGTCTCAACGACATTCAAAGCAAGCACCGAAGAGTACGCACACAGGCTGATAACGTGGCGCTGATGGCGCTACCAGGCACTGTAGCTAGTGTTGAGGAGCAAATTGAAGCCATGGCCGATGAACTAGGAGGGACTGAGTTTCGTGGTTTAGCTGGAGCCACACGTAAGTGTCAAACTCATCCAAAAAGTGTTCGATCCAAAGTTCTATGCTGATATTATGTTTTTAATTCCAGGCAATCAGACCACCGCATTATTGGCCCTCTCCGTTGCGCAAGGCAAGTTGTATGAAGCAAGGGTCGGCCTCACAGAGGCAAGGCTACGTCGACATCGTAACACCGGTGGGATTCCATCCTATGTGGAAGTTTATCATTGGGATACTGACTAGGGTTTTACCACAGGAGCCCGGCAACAACAATACATGGCCCGACATTTAGCAGACAGACTGCGAGATGTGTGATCCAAGTACAATTCATACTGCCGCCAAGTCGCCAAATACGCAGTCGATTACCCAAACGCCGTGCAGCCCGAGATGCCAGACCTGGAGACGGTCATGTCGATGCCCTTGGGCGACCCATTCTGGAATCGAGGTGAAATACCTCCAGAAGAACAAGAAGCGGCGGAAAGAGATAGACTAGGTATTCAAAGCTTCCTATCGCGACGGAGCTCTGAAGAAGAGCTGCGACGCATTGCGCGCGAGGTGCGCCAAATTACCGGTTGGGCAAACTCGTACCTTGGTCGAATAACGACGCTGAAGCAGCGAGTGGCGGCAGGTGGGTAACTTTTGCGCTGATGATCCTAACGTCTACTGACTGACCCACATTGTCAATCTAGCCCCGGTTGGCACCAATTGTGATAGAATGGCGTGCATATGTAGCATAGTATCCAAAAAGGCTTGTAAGCTTTGGAAGAGATGGGGAGTTGAGCTGAAACGCCAGCTTCAAGAAACTGGTACGCTGCTCGAGAACACTCGCGAAATGGATGAGTTATTGAAAGCGGGGTTTGAGAAGGTAACGCAATGGACCGAGAAGTTGTGGAGGAAAATGGCAGGCATTCAGGCCGAGGAGCCAGACCTGTACGAGGAAGCTGAGGACGAAGAGTATGAAAGGTTGTATGATTTAAACGGTGAAATGAGAGAAATGAGAATATGATACACCTACAAATTGATAAGAATGAGAATGAAATCGAAATTGTACAATGCAAGTTGAAACTGGCATGAATATGAGTGGTAGCGTTTGGAGAGAATGAGTCACAAGTACAGTATGTACTGATGACTAATCTGAGATGAGCACCAGACCGGGAGTGCGCTGTATAATTTCTTTGAGTATATTGTGAGGCTTACTCTACAGTGGATCAATGTAATCACATTGGGACCGTGCCTGATTGGCTCACAGTCATATGATTGAACACTTCTTTATTATTTGAGGGTCAAATGATGAAGAAGTTAAGATCATATTACTCCACATCAGTATCCAAACTAATGTCAACACAAGTGCCAGTACGACTATACAACAAAGGGTATTTATCTACAAGTATAGGTATAATACACGATTTGAACAAATTGAAGTGATGAGATAGCTTATCAAACCAATCCTTTGCCACGGGTAAAGCCAGATTGTGCCATTCTTGCCAGGGCTCTGGGATAGGAGGAGTATTGGGAGAGGAAAATAAAGAAAGAGACAAGAAGTGGAGCCCTTTGGGATCGAAACAGAGGAAAATGGGGGGATTCTCGGTTGCTTCACAATCGAGAGGAAGCGCAGAATGAGTATATGAATCTGTATAAACACAAAAGACCCTTTTGTACGTTGTTGCAATTATATACGACATGCGAGCCGAATCGAGCCATAACACTGGCGTGTCAATTACCTCTTCTCTCTGTGTTTGGAGGGTGGTAATATGGTCTTGAACATCGCCATCGCCTCTTTTCCGCGCTTCGGAGTGCTTGTTGTAGAATTCGCGTTTTGATTGCAGTTCTGCTATGAGATCTTCTCGGACTGACAGCCATTCGTCCTCAGATCGGCCAAGGCTGATTGCAATTGCACGATAACCACAATGGCCATCTGGAACGGGGTCAGTCACTGATTGGACATGCTTGTGCAGCCATTGTGGAACACGTCGGTCCTGGATAAGGTTGGAGGTCAGATTGTGATCAGAAGAAAGTAAAAGTCACGAGTGTGAGCTGGCACGTACACATTTTTGTGGTGGCTGAGCGTGTCGACCGGACAGATCGCCGCAAACCGGTTAGTGAGGGCGAAGGGTGCTGCCTGGTTGACCGTCGCGAGAGGGTTTGTTCTTCGGGTATGGACGCAGATCTTGCTTTCTTTGTGTTGCGCTACATGGTCGTAACATCAGTAACGGCGTGCTGATATTCACTCCAGCCGTAAATTCGTCTTACATTTAATCGTTCTGGGGGCTGTGTGCCTGTGTCAGAGGCCTCAGCGGTGGTTTCCTTGTCTTCCTTTCTTGGACTGGTTAGGGGTGGTGCCTCATCTTGCTTCCTTGGACTGGTTAAGGGTGGAAGCAAAGCATCCAGGTCGAAGCTTTCATCGGCGTCCTGGGGGTCATGGTCTACAAATTTGATAGGGAGGGTTGAAAGGTTTGGCTTTACAGAAACAATCAGTATCGGTATCGGGGAAGAAGAGTAGATGAAGATTCAAAAATCGACTTACTGAGAGGGTAGGGGGTATGGGTATGGGTGAAGGCTACAGGGTCTCCGGTGAATCAGCGTACGCATAATGGTAAAAGGTTGAGAGGACTTCACTTACAAATCGATTGTGGCTGTTGGGACTTTCGGGAATGATTATACTGCTTGGTGGCTACACGTAGTTAAGTTTGGTTAGTGTTTGGTTAGTTGGTTGTGGAGGAGTGGAGTATTTGTGATTGCGCACCATGGTTTCCGAATCATAATCCACGAGGCCCTTGAGGTCTGCATCAATACCATGAGATTCACATCTGGGTTTCAGAGATGCGTAGTTTGGTGGGATGCGAGGTCGGTGTGGGGAGTTGTCCACGCCGTCGGATGAATAGTTGCAAGGTGGAAGGGCCGTCTTGTCTTCAAAAGTCTGACCGAGAGAAGGCTGCGGTGGAGGCTGCGCTGAAGTTTCGCCAGGGACGGGGGATTTCTTGGTCTTTGTTTTCTTATGTTTCCGCTTTGTCCCCAATGGTCCGTTACTGGCGTCTGTAGGCTTAGGCTGAGGAAATTAGGATGGTTAATGAGTAAGAAATAATACACTGGAGATAGTGACTTGAGTGACGGAATTGGTACCAACTTGTGACACGATAGAAGCGGAGGTTTGTAGGTCAATTGCAGTTGGTAATTGGGAACTGGTGGTGGGGATGGGTTGGAACTGGTCAAGGACTTGTTGAATTTGGGCGAGTGCTTCGGTCCAATCATGAGCGTAAAGCTGCGATAGCTTGCTGGAGATCTGGATGGATGGAAATATAGCCAACGTAAGCACAATAAAAAGATGTATGAAGAGAGTGGGCTGACCAGGGATGAGCGTTGGGTTGATGACTGTCAGACTATCTTCTTTGGAGTCATGGTGGGTCTATGTAAGAAAAGAGTCATAGGGAGAAAACAATCAGCTAGGATTTGTATAAGGAGGCCGGGCTTAAATAAACACTTACGTCTGATCCAATGGGACCATGGTTATGAGCAATGTGTTTGTAATAGATCTTCCAGGTACCTACCGGCGGTAGAGAGTTGTTGGTGACTGTTGCTTGAAATTCAATAGGGCTGTTGGAGGGTCGAACCTCATAGGCATTGACGGCAAACGGACAATCCGTCTTGTGGGAACAAGAATCTTTGGAAGGCTTTGTCGCAGAGCGGTGGCAGCGGAAGCGAATCTCGTAGTCGTCAGATGATCGAATGATGAGACGGTAACCATTCGCTTCAGCATGAGCGCGGACTTTGTCCCTCATACTTTGTTGGTCGGACGCCTCGAGGTCTAGTGGTGGTGTTAGTAGTGTGGTAGGATTGGGGTTGGGGGGTTTGGCGTTGGGGA